TGCTCGGCCCTCCCCGGGTTTGCTGCTGGTTCTTCCCGGGTTGGCTACTGTCCCTTCCACCTCCGTGGAAGGGCAGTTCCCCCTGGCCACATTCCCCACTTCCGCAGGGGAGCGGCACACCGCCGGCCGGCTCTTCTCGGGGGCTGCACAGGTGTTCCTTCAGCTAGATGTTCCCCTTAGATGTTCCTGGTGCATGCCGTCTCTCTCCTCCTTTATAGTCCTCCTCTGCCAATCCCAACTCGGCTGCCCACACGCCGAGCACGCTGCTCTCCTCCAATCAGGAGCAAGTCCTACAATTTATTGGCTGAACTGGAGGCAGCTGTGCAGAAGCTGTTTACTTCTCTCCCAGCACCATATTGTGGGAGAGCAGATGCATAGAATAAGTCCTAATTCCAGCAACTCAGTCTAGTCCGGGCTGCTCCCCACACTTAGGGTCTAAGCATGTTATTTCCCTATTGGAAACAAAAAAAGAAAAAGCAAACCATCTCGACTCCACTGTACCCAACTTAACACTTTCCTTTTACAGTAAAAGTTAGGGAAAAAGCTGTGTTTTTCCACTGTTTGCAATTTCTCTTCCCTCATTCTCTCTGAAGCCCACACCTACCACGGCTTACCAGCCACCACAGTTGCTCTTATCAAGTCACCGATGACTGCCCCTTATTCAGCTCCAACAGGCAGTCCTTCACCCTCATCTATCTGAGCTACAGGAGCCTTTTCTCGGTGTGTGTGTGCCCAGAGAGTCTGCAGTATGCTGATCTTCAGCAGAATAGAAGTGGGATTCTGGTTTTATGAAATTAAACTTGTAGGTTATGAACAAACCAATCTATAAGGATAGGTCTTATAGCAACCCATCCATCTGGCTTCCAGAGTTCATGATTTATGACAGAGCAGTAGTAAGGAATGTTAATTGGCTTAGTTTTAGTAGAGGAAGATTTTTTGTTTTTGCTGGAGACTGTGGATTGATAGGGGAAAAGTTTAAAGGAGCACTGCAATTTTTGTTTTCCAACTGGATCAGTGCTTACACTGCTTGATTATCTTTCAACATCTAGCATCACAAAATGGTATTATACTTGGAATGTATCTTGTAAAACAGCCAAACTTTTCATTAACAGAGAGGGACTCTTAGTTTAAAGAAGCTAAACTACCTCCCCCATCTCATAGCCAGCTAGTGACTCATTGGAAACCAGAACCCGAGCTCCTGGCTCCAAGTCCAGTGTCCTTTCTGCCACAGTTGCTGCAGATACGCCGCCTTCCAGTTATCTCCCCGTCTGCATTCTATGGTGATGCTTTTAATTCATTTGCCAGGAATTCTGTTGTTCTCCTGGACTGTGTGGGCTCTTTAAGTACGATATCCTTTCCAGCGCACTTGGAGCTGGTAGGGGTTTCTCACAGTCCATCTGATGTGTTCAATGTGTACATTATCTATCAAAGCACTTCATCCGCTTTTCAAGAAGTCCTGTTGCCCTCCTGGATGGCTTGGGATTTGGGGTTCCAGCAAGGAACATACTTCACTTATCAGGGCTAAATCTGACAGTGGCTTTGATTAGTTGCTCTGCTCCCAAGTTGTAAGACAGATACACTTGGCACCATCCCAGGCTACATTCCAGGGCCAAATACTTAAAGATTTTCTTGATTATGCAACATTTTAAAATACGTCCCTTACATGGGATTCTAGATTGCGAGACAGTCTCCTGAACCTTGCTTGCCCAAAAGGTTCTCAAATGGAGTTGTTTGGGGAGGAAAAATGAGGCATCCCACCTACCCCAACACACAAGTGACAGATCTCTCAGTTCAATGATAGGCAAGGCTTTCTCTTTTCTGTAAATCACTTTATAAAGGTATAATTGATATTAAAAAGTTGTACAAAGGTAAAATATACCTCTCAATGGGTTCAAGGATAAGAATACACTGGTGAAACTATCACTACAATGAAAGACTTGAACATATCCCCCTTTTATTGATATTATTGTGGTTGTGGTTTCTTTTGGCTTGGTAAGAACTTTTAGCATATGATCTACCTTCTTACCAAATGTTTAGTACACGATACAATATTATGAGCTATAGGCACTGTGCTCTATAGCATATTTGCATAGACTCCAGTTAATAGGAAAAACTGGTCCCAAGAACAGCACAAAAGTTGCTGAAAGCTGCTAACACACCTAAAGAATGATTGTGTCCACTTAAAAGGGGTTCTTATTAGCAGCAATAATGATACCTAACACCTAACTATGTGCCAAGCACTGCCCTGGACTCTGTGCACGAATGGAAGAGCCCTTGACCAAAGTGCCTCAGACAACAAGTGTTTTTTTTTTTTTTTATTGTGGAATATTTACACCTATGTGAGATGCCTAGGGGATGTAACCCAAGTCTAGACATGAAATTCATTTATCTTTCATTTACTCCTTATACACATAGCCTGAATGTCATTTTATATAAAATTTTAATAGTGTTGTGGGTGAAACAAAGTTTCATGATATGTAGCTTTTCACTTCCACTGTCAAGTTGGCTCTCACAGAGTTTTGGATTTGGGAACATTTCAGATTTTGGATTTTCAGATTAGGGCTGCTCAATCTGTATTAAATTTAACAACTCTTAAAAATAAGTATTATTGTGGATGAAAAGCCTGAGGCACAGAGAGATTAGATGGCAACCTGAGATCGCTTAGCCAGTGCGATGGCAGAATGAGATCCGAATGAGGAGTATCTGACTCTGGAGTCTTCACTCCTTTTTGAGAGTCAGAGAGAGAGGGAGAGGGAGAGGGAGGGAGGGAGAGAGAGAGAGAGAGAGAGAGAGAGAGTTTCCCATCTGTTGGCTCATCCCCCAAAATGTCTACAATGGCTGGGACTGAGCCAGAATGAAACCCGGGGCTAGGAGACTCAATCCAATGTTCCTTATGGGTAGCAGGGTCCCAAGTACTTGAGCTACCACCTGCTGCCTCCGAGTCTGCATTAGCGGGAAACCGGAGTCAGGATCCAGAGCCAGGACTCAAATCCAGGCATTCCGGTGTTTGGCTGGTGGGTGTTCTGGTGTTTTGCTCAGACTCTGTGGGTTTTGGTTAAGGTGAGTCTGACAGCTCCTCTGGATGCTGAGGGCTGAGAGGCGGAGGCCGAAACAGCAAGTACCACCCTGGAGATCCAGGCGCAGATCTCTCCTGGGCACTGCAGACATCTTGGCATCAGACCTTTGCCTTTAAAGCCTTGCCTGTCTTATCTTCCTTATGAGAGTGGTGACTTGATGGAAACCACTGGGTCGCAGATGCGTTGGTATGCCTCATTGCCCTGCCCCGTCCCTAGAACCTGTCAGTGGGCTTCAGCTGACTTCCAACTGCCGACATTGGTATTTCGGTGCTGAGGTTTTTCCTGGCCCCAGAAGAGTAGAAGGTGAACCCATACCACAGGCTGATGATTCATTAACTCCTCTCCCAGAAGCCTTCAACTCACAGATCAGATGATTCTTGGGAAGGGGTATATAAATACCCCAGCACTCTCCTCTCTAAGATGGGATAAGTCTGAGGCTCTGTGCTGCACTGGAGTAAGTTCCCAGTCCCTGTTTCACCTTCCCAACCCCCTCCTCAGGCCTCCGTCATGTGCATCTTGCCCTGGAATCCTGGTCTTGGTATCCACTGGGGCTGGAACCCAAAGCAAGACGAGGGAAGGCAAGCAGTGCCTACAGAATGGCTCTTGTGCCTGGCATTGTGTTGGAACTGTTACAGGTACAATCCTCTCTCATCCTGCCACAGCCGCAGTACGCAGGAAGTTACCTTCGTAGATGAGCCATTGGAGGGGCAGAAAGACGGACAACCCACTCGCAATCACTGAGCTGCTCAGTAGTCAAGTGAGTACTGATGCTGAGTACTCACCATTCTTTGTGGCCTGTTAGCCGTCCTGTTTCTATCCAGCCTGTGGCCTAGGCCAGGGCTTCACTCTGTGTAAGCGAGATTCAAAACCACATGTAGAATACCTTTGTTGATATTTCTGGACTGACCTCTGATGCTTTGTCATCCTATGACCTACGCAGCATAGATCAACGACGATCAAACATGTACCAACATAAGCAAGTGTTTCCAAAACACCTTTGCCTCCCCCGCACTGTCTCTCTTCATGGAGATTGAGCCGATGCCAGAGTTGAGGCAGGCAGCAGGCGTGACTCATGAACAGCCTGCCGGGCCGGCTGCGCCACGAAGCTGCAGATGCCAGGCCAGGAGAGCAGGAAGCCAGCCGAGGCGTGCAGGCTGCTGCCCACACGTACCGGCCTGGGTTTCCCCCTGCGGCACGTTTCTGTGCTGCTGTGTAGACACAGCCTTGACGCCACGGGCAAAGACAGCTCAGCAAAGGGTTAGTGTCTTCCGATGTTTGGCAAAGAAGCAATCAGACTTCTTTTTGTAGCTTCAGAGGGAAGCTATGGTTTTTCCTCATTGAGTTTTTTTTTCCCTAAAGATCTCTCTATGGTTCGTCAGTGAGTCACGCCTAGGTTATAAACTCAGCCATTTCCTTGTCCTCAAAAACTCTGGGCTCCAATCACAGGGCCTGGCAATCGAAAGCTTCACACGGACTGCAAGGGTGCCCTGTCGCTGTTGTCATGCCTCACCGGGACCCCACAACCAAGGTCCTTCCCTAGGCACTCCAGGACAGAGCATCGCTTGCCACTCCTGCCACTCTCTCTGGCTGGCGATGTCCAGAGCAGGAAGCCTCACTTCCCAAGACCAGCAGGGTGGCGTTAAGCGGGGACTCTCCCTCAGGTCACCTCTGAAGAGACGGATGCCTGCGGGGAGTGGTGGTGCTCTCGCTGCTATTGATTAGATGCCTGGTGAAACATGCTTTAGGTCGCCTCTGCTGACAGCCAGCCTGGGGACAGCTCTGTCTGCCTGTACATTCTTCTTCCCGGGCTGGGCGTTTTGGTGGTTTGGTATTAAAATAGATGCTTCCTAATTAGACAGATCTCCATCAGGAGGATCAGTGGGAGGATTTCCGTGGATTTTCATATGCGGTTTCTCTTCCCAGATCACCCCATGCCCTGCAGCCCATCAGCGCTTCTACACCACAGCTCACTGAACAGTTCCTGGAGCAGGCAGCAGACACAGAACTGGTAATTAGCGTGCTGTCAGCTGACGGCCGCTGTGGGCTTCTGCTGCTGACATCAGCAAGTCCATCATATATTTAAAGCTATCACTGCTCATCATAATTCTGATCTGGAACATTCAATTAATAAGAAAATCCTTTTCGAAAAACGACAACTAAAATCACGTTTGGGTGAAAGTTTGTAAGTATATAAACAAGTTAAAATGAGAATGAGCAGCCACATTTCATTTCAGCCCAAAATGCATCGGTTAGCACCCACAGTCCAAGCTCTGGCCGAGGCATCCGTCAGAAATCCACCAACAAGTCAGCTCTTTCTGATGAGAGGATGCTGTGATTTGGTCAAGGTTAGAGAGGACATCTGTTTTAATGACAGAAGTCGGGAGAAGAGCGGCACTTCGGGCGTCTCCAATCTTTATCCACAGATTGCCCATGAAGGTGTTGGTGACTGTTTTCCTTCTGATGTGATCCACTGACAAATAAAGCAAAATCACTTGTTTACTGTTGTTTTTCAGGAAAAAATACCATATGAAGGTTGTATTTATCTAAAAATTCAAAAATTGAAATTTCAGAATAATGTCACATTAATGGAACAATCGCTGTATAATTTTTCCAAGGAGTTATGAATAGATATCACATAGTACAGAATAAGAAAAATAGAATCATTTTAATATAAAAAATACTCATTTTATTATAAAAGCTGTTTTATCCTTAGGGCTAATCAGAAAAATAATAATTTTGTTGAAGAAATGTATGTCATCTATTATTTAATGTCTTCTATCCCCCCCCCCACAGTGCTGTCAAAGTAATATCTATTTTTGGACTTGATTCTAAGGTTTTGTACCAAACTGATGATTGCTACACCTGCAAAGGCTTACCTCTCAAATTGAGTTAGCATGAACTAGATCGCAATTGCTACTAAACTTATCAACCTCCAGGAACTCAGCCTGCCGCCACCAAAATACAAGAGCTAGGATTTAATAAAGGAATCCTAAACAGGTAACATTTTTCTTTCTCCACAATTTGAAACAGTGTTTGTTCATCACATAGAAATGGCAAATATGCATGTTGGAAATTCAGAAAACAAATATGTCAGGAAGCATTTTATGCATCATTTAAAATTATATTTAAACAGTTCTCTGGCTGTAAATTAAAGAAAGGAGAAATTATGTGCCCAAGCTTTCATAAATGTCATATACCAAATTCATAGAAATTAATAAATACAAATCAAGTACAATTTATCTTTTTTTCATTAAATAAAACAGTAATTCACCAAGTCCAAATGAGAGCTACAGACACTAACACATTATTAACGGCAACAACGATGCTGTATTACCAGAAATGTTTGTAACACATTAGATATGTTGCCTCAAATGGACAGGAATAAATTAGAAGTAGCATGTATATTTTATGACATATTGATAGTTTTTCTTCCTGGTTTAATCCACCCTTCTTTTCTCGTGGTTTAACCCTTCCCCTGGGGCAAAAAATGCTATCAGCTCATGTCACAGACAGGTTCAGGACAACGCAATGGCTAATAAACCCAGGGCAATAGATAATAAGGAATATTTATACACTTGGGCGAGACTGGGGGATACAGGGCTGGGCCTTCACTCCTTGTTTGTTGACCTGCACAGTTGTGCAGGCCTGCTCACATTTTACAAAAGAGGATCTGGACAAGGAGGAAATTGATAAAGGTGGCTTGTAATTACCTGCCGTGGACTGTCACCCAGGCGTCTCTGTGTGTTCTGTGACCTGGTGCCAGTTGGACTAGGCAGGGAGACTAGAAAGAGGAAGAAGCAGAGATTATTTTCCTCATTAAAAAATAAAAAAGCTTTTTTAGGCCAGAAAGTGTAGGTTTGTTAGATAATTTAGAAAAAAATAGAAATAGATTACAAAATAAAAAGTCATGAACCAGCTAACCTCTCATCAATAGTCATTGTGGATTTGGGTGTATTTCTTCTTGGTATTTTAAAAAATATATATGAAAGTCATAAAATTTGAAGTGTATCTTCTATTCTGCTTTTTATCTGTGGGCATGTTACAACTTACTAGGTATTCCTCAAGCATTTTTTGACTCCATAGTAGTCTGCTGCATGTACTGTCACCTATTGAGCTATCTCCTGCTGTTGAAAGTCTAGGTTGTCTCCAATTCTTGAGTTATGAACGTGCTGTAACAAAACATCCCTGTGTATGCATCCTCATATGCATGCTTGGTATTTCTCTGTTATAAATGCCCTATTATGGTACTGTGCTCATATTATATATTGATAAATTACTTTTAATTTTTTAATTATTTTATTTATTTATTTATTTGAAAGTCAGAGTTACACACAGACAGAAGGAGAGGCAGAGAGAGAGAGAGAGAGAGAGAGAGAGAGGTCTTCCATCCAATGGTTCACTCCCCAATTGGCTGCAATGGCTGGAGCTGCCCTAATCCAAAGCCAGGAGCCAGAAGCTTCCTCCAGATCTTCCCACGTGGGTGCAGGGGCCCAAAGACTTGAGCCATCTTCTGCTTTCCCAGGCCATAGCAGAGAGCTGGATCAGAAGTGGAGCAGCCAGGACTTGAACTGGAGACCATAAGGGATGCTGGCACTGCAGGCAGCTGCCTTACCCACTATGCCACAGCACCAGTCCCAATAAATTACTTTTCAAAAAATATGATACTGGGGTCAGGATTGTGGTACAGTGAGTTAAGCCTGCATCTCACTACAGAGTGCTTGTTCAAGTTCTGGCTCCTTTATTTCCAATCCCATTTCTTGCTGATGCACCTGGGAAAGATGACCTAAGTACTTGGGCCCCTAAACCCACATGGAATACCTGGATGGAACTCTAAGCCCTGGATTTGACCTGATCCAGATCTGGGTGTCTGACCATTTGGAGAGTAAACCAGCAAATGGAAGATATCTCTTTTATTCTCTCTCTCTCTCTCCTTCTCTCCCCCCCCCCCTTTTTTTTTTTTTTTTGTATTTGACAGGTAGAGTTATAGACAATGAGAGAGAGAGAGAGAGAGAGAGAGAGAGAGAGAAAGGTCTTCCTTCCGTTGGTTCACTCCCCAAATGGCCACTACGGCCAGTGCGCTGTGCCAATCTGAAGCCAGGAGCCAGGTGCTTCTTGCTGGTCTCCCATGCGGGTGCAGGGCCCAAGCACTTGAGCCATCCTCCACTGCCTTCCTGGGCCACAGCAGAGAGCTGGACTGGAAGAGGAGCAACTGGGATAGAACTGGTGACCATATGGGATGCTGGCGCTGCAGGCAGAGGATTAACCAAGTGAGCCACGGCGTCGGCCCCTCTCCCTTTCAAATAAATAAATAATCTTTTAAAAAATATGATACTATTCGTACTCATTATATAAATGATTTCTTTGGGGAAGAAAAATATGATAACTGATGTACATGGCTAACACTATGCTTGACAGGAACATGTAACTGCAGCCTTATCAGCACTCAATGCTGTAATTTTTTAAAAAAAGATTGATTTATATATTTGAAAGTTACACAGAGAAAGAAGGAGAGGGAGAGAAAGAAAGGTCTTCCATCCACTGGTTCACTCCTCAATTGGCCACAATGGACAGAGCTGGGCTGATCCGAAGCCAGGATCTAGGAGCTTTTTCCCGGTCTCCCATGCAGGTGCAAGGGCCCAAGGACTTGGGCCATCTTCTATTGTTTTCCCAGGCCATAGCAGAGAGCTGGATCAGAAGTGGAGCAGCCAGGACTCGAACTGGCACCCATATGTGATGCCAGCACTGCAGACGGTGGCTTTACCTGCTATGCCACAGCGCCAATATTGTAATGTTTTAAACAGTAAAATTCACATTTTTTCCATTTTAATTTCTGTTTCTAAGATATGTTATCATTTCTATAAAAATACACATGATCAGGGCTGGCCTGCAGTGCTAGCATCCCATATAGGTGCCGATTTGAGTCTCAGTTACTCCACTTTCCATCCAGCTTCCTGCTAATGCACCTGGGAAAGTAGCACAGGATGGCCCAAGTCCATGGGCCCCTGAACCCACATAGGGGAGCCAAAGGAAGCTCCTGGCTCTTGGCTTTGGATCGGCTCTGCTCCATGATGGAACAAGGACATAAGCCTCAGCCATTATTCCTCATTGCCCAAAGGAGATAAACACTGGAGTGTATTCCTTGCCCTTGAAACTCAATAGGGTCTCACACTCTATTGCCTTCAGACCTCAACCCTTACAGCCACCTGAAGGACCAGTTGCTCTGAACCCCTGAAAGACCAGTTCCAGGATTCCCCTCTGCCTGCTGCCCCCTACCCCACCCCCACCCCCAGCCCTCCTTAAATATAAAAAGGCCTAGCCCCTGGGGTCGGGGCCTTCTGCCACGAGTTCCATCATGGGTGCACGGGCAGTTGGTCACCCACCTCTACGGATTTATTTTCTCTGAATAAACTTGGTCTGGCTGTAAATTCATACACTGCGTCCTCTCTATTCTGCACCTCTTTTCCTAACACTCCGGCCGTTGTGGCCATCTGGGGAGTGAACCAGCGGATGGAAGACCTCTCTCTCTGTCTCTACCTCTCTCTGTAACTCTGTCTTTCAAATAAATAAAATAAATCTAAAAAGAAAAATACACGTGATCACTAAAAATGTAGAAAGTAGCAAATGACTACTAAATGCAACTGGATAACAACCATTTAAAATTTCTATTTAAAATGTCTGATATTTATGTATTCTATATTTATATGGAATCATACTGTACATAATATTTTATAACTTTTTCAATTCACTAAAACATTTATCTATCTTTCCACATTACATAAACCAGAAACATCATTTTTAATATTTGCTGAACTCCAGGAACTTTGCTGTGTATATGTCAGAAAGAGATTGTGGCCCTAAGGAATGAAAATGAGAATGGTTGGCCATTCACCTAAGGATAGAGTCATAGAACCCAAGGGAAGAAGGTACTATAAAGAGGAGAGAGAGATCTCCTGTGTCAGAGAGAGATCTACTGATCTACTGATCTACTGAAGTTTGTTAGTGAATGCCAAGGACTGTAGCCTGGCTTAGTGGGGCTGAGGAAAACATAGTGAGTGACAACTGGAAGCAATGAACCTAGAAAAAAAATCAAGGAAGTCCTTTTCTATTCGTAATTTATAAAGATTTTTTTAAAAAAATCTCTACCTTTGAATTTTATCCCAACATATTTTTTTGCATTAAGAATGTTTTTTCTCTTTCTTTCTTTTTTTTAAACTTAAGCTCAACTATGAGCTTCTTCTTCTTCTTTTTAATTTATTTGAATGACAGAGTTACAGAGAGAGCTAGAGACACAGAGAGAGGTCTTCCATCTGCTGGTTCACTCCCCAGATGGCCACAATGGCCGGAGCTGTGCTGATCTAAAGCCAGGAGCCAGGAGCTTCTTCTGGGTCTCCCACATGGGTGCAGAGGCCCAAGGACTTGGGCCATCTTCTACTGCTTTCCCAGGCCATAGCAGAGAGTTGGATCGGAAGCAGAACAGCTGGGACTAGAACTGGCACCCATATGGGATGCCGGTGCTTCAGGCCAGGGCTTTAACCTGCTGTACTACAGTGCCAGCCCCTCTTGCTTTCTGATAACATTGCATTCTCTTCATTTTTTATGATGTTGAAGTATCACTGCATGATGATAAAACTCCATTTCATTGTGATGTCCTAGTTATATAGATCAGTGTATTTCTATGATATATACATATATATATAATTTGTATTGAATTAAATTATTACTTAATCTCATCTCTATTTGTAAACAAGTTATGATTGTTTTTAAGATTGTCTTTTCCTATACTACTCCTCCTACTTTAGTTTCACTTAATTAGCTCATAAATTGAATTTAGTGTGCTCACTTCGGCAGCGCATATACTAAAATTGAAATGACACAGAGAAGAGTAAGTGGCCTGGCCCCTTGTGCAAGGATGACATGCAAATTCGTGAAGCCTTCCACATTTCTGGACAGAGGATCTCTCTGTCTCCCCTGCCGTAATGCTGCTTTTCAAATAAATAAATAAATCTTTTAAAAAAGAATTTGTTAGCTCTTTTGCTTTTCCAATTGTCTAAAATAATGTGTATAATACTAGAATTATCCATTTAATTGCTAAAGCTGCCTGGGCCCAGGGACTTTGGGGTAGGATAGAGGGCATTTTATCTGTAGGTACCATTGCTTTAGTGGCTTTGGATTTATTGCTGTTGGGTATTTTCTACTCAAGTCAATTTTGAAGCTGTCACTTTGTTCCTATTTCTTCTCTGATTGTTTCTCCGTCTTCTTGCAGCAAACTGGATTGCCGGGACTCATCTGATCAGCTAGCTTGGGTCAACGGGAGGCACTAGTAGATGACTAGTGAGTGGGAGAAAGACAGAAGCCAAGCTGTTTTTCCTATCCTCTTTCTGTCTGGAGTAGTGGTTCTTTCTTGGGGTTCCACTCCCACCAGACAGCTTTTCCTCATTGCCCCAGCTCCCCCATGCCTGTGCGTAATCCTGCTCCCACCAGTGACCCTGGTTCTCACACTCCAGGGACACCCACTCACCCTTGGCCCCTGCAGCCCCAGGGTGGTGATACCTTCCTGCCGTCAGTGATCCCGGAGTGGCCTCACCACCTGCTCCTGGGCTCTGAAGTTCTCCTTTTGCAGCCACTCCTGTTTTAGATTCTTCCTACTGGACCACCTGGGGAGGTTTTGTTTTCCTGACCCGGATCCTGCTGACCCACATAATTCATTTCTAAAAACTCATCTGCTTCGTTTGGGTTTTCTAGTTTATGGACGGCCACATGCAAAATCACTGGCGTGCAGACATGAAGGAAGTCTTTATTTATATATTATTTCATATATTTTGAATTTGGGAGCATGCAAGTTATTCACCTACTCAAAAAATCGTATTTAACATAGTTGCAAAGAACAGACTGAATTCTGCTTGGCTTTTTATTTTTTTTGTTTCTATTTACTAACTTCTATTTTTATTATTCCCTACATGTCAGTCTATCTATATTTACTCTGTTCTTCTAGTGCACTTATTTTCATTTCCTTATCCTAGAAATAAATAAAGTCAAGGCTATAATGTGTCTCTAAATTCCATGTTAGACATATCTCAATTTTTGACAAGTGGTAATTTCATAGTGTTTATTTCTTAGTATTTTGCTATTCACACTGTGACTTCCTGCTTAATCATTGGGTCATTTAAGCATAACTTTAATCTTCTAAACATATCTGTTTTTTAATTTTCTTTTTACTATTAATTTCTAATTTAAGTGTATCATGACAAGATTGTGGTCTGTATGGCAAACTTACTTTGAAATTTATAATGTAATTTGATGATCCATTTTATACAAATTCCATTAGTGTTTAAAATGAAAGTATATTTTCTATTCATTGGATATAGGATATTTGTGTCCTTGCATACACATTAGCTCAAACTTGACAGTTATATTTTTCAGTGCTTTTATTTCCTTGTAATTTTTTTTCTGATTAACCAGTTAGCTTGTAATACAGGTGTGTGTAAGGTACCCTACTGTGTTTTGTTTACCAGCTTATCTTCAAAATTGTCAGTTTTATTTTACTGATATTGAGATTACATTATTAGCTGCAAAGAACTCCTGATTATTATATTTAAGTGATTGATACTTATATTATTTAATGTTCTGTTTTTATCTTCATTATGCTTACATTTCATTTTTTATACTAATAAGTCTCTGTCATCTGTATCTATATGTGTATTTGCCTGGTATATTTTGTTCCATTCCTTGTTTTCATATTTTTGTAATCTTTTTATAACTTAAAGTCTTAAAAGAAACACAGAACTTGGCTTTTAAAAAATACAACATTGTAAGTGGAAAAACAAAAATGTGTCTGTTTTGAAGTGACATGATAGTATACCTAGAAAATCCTGAGGAATCTTCAAAAGCAACAAAAAATAAAGTAGAATTCATAAATGAGTTCAGCAAGGTTGTAGAACATATGATCAACAGCAAAAATAAACTGGGGTTCTCCATAATAACAATGAAAAGATGGAAGCTGAACATTTTAGGTGACATACTATTTATAATTGTTCCAGACAATATTAAATATTTAAGTATAAGTCTACTGAAATATAGAATATACATCCCAAAAATGACAAGATGCCAATCCAAGGAACCAAGGATAGTCTTGGGTGGGTGTTGTGATGCAGTGTGATAAGCTGCCATTAAAGATGCCCATGTTGGGGTGCCGATTTCAGCCCCAGCTCCTCCATTTCCAATTGACCTCCCTACCAATATACCTGAAAACTCTCCGCCACCCAAGTAGAAGACCCAGATGGCGCTCTGGGCTCCTGGCTGCAGCATTGCCGAGCCCTGGATGTTGTAGCCATTTGGGAAGTAAACCAGCAGATAATGATCCATCTCTCTCTCTCTCTCTCTCTCTCTGGAAGTAAACCAGCAGATAATGATCCATCTCTCTCTCTCTCTCTCTCTCTCTCTCTCTGTGTGTGTGTGCGTGTGTCGTGTGTATGTGTGTCATGTGTGTGTGACTCCACTTTTCAAATAAATAAATAAATAAATACATCTTTTAAAAAGAAGGAACCAAGGATGATCTGAACAAATGGATGGACATACTATGTTTATGGATTGGAAAACTCAGAATGATAGATATGTCAGTTCCAAGCCAATATGCAGGCATAACGCAACAGATATGAAAACACCAGTACGATTTTATGAGACATACTTAGTGCTGTTCTAAAATGTACATGAAAAGGCAAACGAACTTGAATAGCTAAACTTTCAAAAATCAAGAGAAAAGTGGGAAGAAACAGTCTCCTGAATTTAAGAGTAATCAAGATTGTGGGGTGTTAGTGGAGGAATGGACACATAGATCAAAGGAACAAATAGGGTACCTAGAAATAAATCCATACAATATGCTCAACTGATTTCTCAAAGGGACGAAAGCAAATCAGTGAAAGTGGGGTAGCCAGGACTAGCTGTATATCCAAAGGCAAAAAGCAAGCAAGCAAACAGAAAAATCTCAACCTCACACTTGATAGAGAAAAATGAACTCAAAATACATTACAGACACACGTGAAATACAAACCATACAGCTACTAGGGAAACACTTGGGAGAAAACTTCGGAGATCTACAGTGAGGCATAGTTCTTAAACTTGATACCAGAAGCACCATCCATAAAAAAGAGAAGCTGATAATTTGAACTTCATCAGCATTAGAAACCTTTGCTCTTGGAAAGACTCAATAAATTAGAATGAAAATTAGAAATTGCAAGAAAATATTGGCAAAACATATGTGACAAATAACTTGTATTTAGAATACATAAAGAATTCTCAAAGTAAATAAACAACAAACTTGACAAGCAGGAAAAAAAAAAACATGAACAGATGCTTCACAAAAGCCATACAGATATACAGATAAAAAGATGTTTATCATCCATTCACCACTAAGGAAAGGCAAACTGGAGCCTCAATGAGATATTGCTACACATCTATCAGAATGGCTAAAATAAAAATTAGTGACTACACCAAACTGTAGGAAGAATACAGAGAAACAATCACTCATACGTTGCTGGTAGGAATGTTACTGGCACAGGCACTCTGGAAAATAGTTTGGCAGTTTATTTTAAAACTAAACATGCACTTACCATATAATCCAGCAACTGCACTCTTGGCCATTTATCACAGAGGCAAGAAAACTTACATTCATGCAGAAACTTGCACACCAGTGTTCCTAGCAGCTGTACTCCTAGTAGCCTAAACTACAAACTATCCAGTTCTCCTTCAGTGGGTGAATGGATAAACAAATTGTGGTATATCCATTCTAGCAATCAAAAGGAACAAATGTTGATAAATGTAATAACTTAAAATGAAACTCAAGGGATTCATGTTGAGTAGAAAACAAACTTACCTATTGGGTGATTTCATGTGTGTGTGTGTGTGTGTGTGTATAGAGTGTTATATATATATTTATTTAAACATATTATATATATTGTATGTATATATAACACTCTTCAAATATATATAAAACACTCTTGAAATAACAAAGTAGGGGCCAGCACTGAAGTGTAGCAGGTAAAGAGGTAAAGCCACTACCTACAGTGCCAACATCCCATGCGGGTGCTGGTTTGAGTCCTGGCTGCTCCACTTCCGATCCAGCTCTCTGCTATGGCCTGGGAAAGCAGTAGAAGATGGCCCAAGTGCTTGGGCCCCTGCACCCACGTGGGAGACCCGGAAGAAGCTCCTGGCTCCTGGCTTTGGATGGGTGCATCTCTAGCCATTGAGGCCATCTGGAGAGTGAACCAGCGAATGGAAGAGCTCTCTCTCTCTGTCTGCTTCAGCCTCTCTGTAACTTTGCCTTTCAAATAAAATAGATAAATCTTTTTAAAAAAGAAAGAAAGAACAAAGTAAGATAGCGAAAAAGTAAATGGGTACCAGGGGTTAGGGATGTGTTGGCCTGAAAGTGGCAGAAGAGGGGATCCCATGGTGTTTAGTAGACTCCCCGTCATGACTGTGGTGGTAACTGCATGCAGCTCTCATGGTGCAGGTGATTTGTTCATGAATCTTTTGCATTTCGTAATAAAAAAAAGTGACATAACAACAACCTGGAAGCCCTTTGCAAATGTTCTTACAAGTGACAAGTACAGTTTCCATGGAGGATGCAAAACTGTGTCTTGGAACTCCTCGTGACATGGACTCCGTGATCTCCAACATCTACAAAAATTATCTGTTAATTTCATGTTCAGTGTATGAGTAATAAGTATCCCTCTGGTTCACTATATTAAATACTGTGTACTATCTGTATAATACTTTAAATCCATCCAACTGTCAAGAAATGTAGAAACATTTGGCCTTTTATTGGCTATGAGATTTCCTATCATGTTGATTAGAAATCATTCTGAAAAGACATCCATCTAAAATTTTGGGAAGTAAGAATTTTAAGACTGCTAGGGGTCAGCCTTGTGGCACAGGTTAAGCCACCACCT